CCGGAACCCAACAGGTCGAGGCTGCGGTGGCCGGGAGCGGCCCATGCCCTCCAGTCTGGGTGACAGAGTGAGACTCCAACTCAAAAAAAAAAAAAAAAGTAAGTCACAGAATTACCTGCCCCCTTGACCTCTGGGTCAACAAGGCCTGGCGAGACAGGAGGCGGGGGGCGCACCCTTGTCCTCGCGCCATGGACTTATCCATGGTCCACTGGTTCCAGGTGTCCTTGCCCTGAGGAGCTCACAGGGACACAGATGGGGTGGGGGGAGAGGACTCGCTGGGAGACAAGGAGGGAACGTGCTCGGCTGGGCTTGGCCTGGGTGTCCTTGGCCAGGCGGAAGGGCCGACGGACACAGGCTACCGGACTGCCTGTGGGGACACAAAGCAGGCCAGAACTCCCAGACCACTGCTCCAACAGCACCTTCCATCCCTCATGAGGGGCAGCGGACAGGCGGGCAGGGCAGCACTGGGCCGGAAGGCAGCTGCACAAAATCCCAGCATCTGTGAGGATGCAGTTGGGAGACACTCAGGCACGAATGCTTGGCGTCCTTCACGAACCAAGCTTGGGGGCTGAGCCATCACCACCCACAGGGTTGGTTTCTAATGTTCTCAGTGAGCAGAAGAGGGAGATGAGGAAAGTCCTGAATGTCAGGACTAGGAAAACAGAGTCCCTGAACAATAGCCCTAAGGTGACTCTGGCTTATTCTGGACTGCGTTCGGCTCCCTGGAAGAGAATCAGCCCTCAGGATGGCCTCATTCAGTGTTGTTCCGGGAGGTCCTGCGTGAGGCCGAAGAAGCAGCTGCTCTCTGGGTGGTCTAGCAGCCAACAGCCACCTCCAGAGAGGCCACAGGCAGGGGCTCTGGCTGGGAGCCATGCCTGGGGCAAGAGCAAATGCCCAGCTGCAGCACAGGACCGCCCTGCAAAGACTTCTGAATTACTAAGGAGGAGTGAAGGCTAAGTCCCTGCATTACAGACATTTGAGGCTACACTGAAGCACTGAGGCTGCCTGACTTGCTGACCCGCCCCCATCCCAGCCAGCTGCAAGGTCCAGGTCACCCACCTGCTCTGTGGCCACGCTTGCTGGTTGCCTGGCTCCATCCGGAATCCCCTTGGCACTCCTGGGAGCTGGAGCTTCATGGTCTGCATCTTGAGGGTCTACAGGGCAGGGCAGGGGTCTTTTCTCCGCTGGCTCCTGGCTAGGGTGTGATGTCTCGGGTGCTTCGGGACCCCTGTCCCCACTGCGCTGGAGTCTGGGCTCCTGCTCGGGCCATAGTCTGCACTTGGGCTGCATCTTGAAGCTGGAAAGGCCACTCTTCCCATCTGAAAAGACCTTCCTGGGGTCTGGAGGGGAGAATTCATATATGGGTAGCTGGGTTTTCGTGCCAGTCAGGGGCAGGCAGAGGGCACTGGCCTCGGGGCCGTCGGGTAGGAGTCTGGGGAACGTCTGCACCTTCCGCAGGCGGCTTCTCCTGAGGACATCTCTGTCCAGCTCACCAAGGGGGCACCCAGTGTCCAGGATAAGGTTGGCCAGCCCCTCTGTGGTGTGGCTCTCACCATTCCTCACTGAGGCTGACAGTAGGGCCTTGGGGGGTGAGGGTCTGGGGCCCCGGCTGGCTTCTGTCTCCAGGCCTTTGGGGATGGGCAGCTGGGGTGGGCCCTCTGGGCTGGGCGGAATCTCTGGGTCAGCACAGGGGTCCCTGGGTGGCCTCTTGGGCCCTGCACTTCCTGGTGCAGCTCTCTCTTTCCAGGTGTTCTCGCTGACATCTGAGTACAAGCAAAACACGGTTACTGCAGAGCACCCGACCAGGGACCAGGTCAGACATCACCAGCACCCCAGCAGGGCATGCCTGACTTCTGCACCCGCCCCGCTGGTCACATCATCCTGGTTGGCTGAGGAGGCTCAGCGCGTCCCTCTCCCCCAGGCAAGGCAGGGCTTCCCGCTGGGGTTTCCTAGCTCTGGGGATGTCTGATCACCCCCTTGGAAAGCACGTTGTTTCCACTGCGACCACACAAGTGATATTCCCCACAGGAAGAAAAGGAAGGAACCTGGCTGAGGGACCCTCGTGCACGCAGGTCTCCATGTAGCCTCCTCTAGACAGGCAGCCCTTTGGTGCCTCGGGGGTTCTTGGCACAGCACCTCCCTCCCACGTGGCTCTGCTCCTGCAGCTTAATATCCCCGTCTGTTGCACAGACACTGACTTGGAAATGCCACTGGCTTGGCCACTGGAGGACCCTGCTGCCACCGCGAGGCTCCGTGCGGCTGTGGTCCAAGCAGCACCACTTTCCCGTGGCCCCTCATGGCTCCAGGGCAGGCAACAGTGCAGACGTGGCAGGCGTCTGTTCAAGGGCAATCTGAGCCGGTGCCAGAATCCCATGTGAGCCCTGAGCACCCCGGACACAACGGCAACAGCTTTGCATTGTGAAGGATGCAAAAACGGACTCACCAGTCGCTGTGTGGTGTTGGCAGATGAAATAATATCACCACGGCCGTTTAACAAAATGCTCATGAGGGTAAGAGCGAGGTGACCAGTGCTAATATCAGTCACTGCTGAACATGATCTGTTTCTGCCCTCTGCCTGCATGGGTGTCTGTAAAGCTTGCACAGGTATCACTCAATATGGGTGTGAGTGTGTGCATAGTGCAACTGTGTGTGCGTGCTTGACCATATGTATTGCGAGAGTGTGACTAAGTGTGTATGGTATGCAGCCAGCAGAGTGCACGTGTGCAAATAACCACGCATGCCTGTGTGGGAGTGTGCGGTATGAACTGGCATGTATGAGCTTGCATAAACAGGTGTGACCTGGGCAAGTGAGTGCATGTGTGTGTATGGGGGTGCACATGTGATCCATCTGAATCCCATGAGTGCAACTGTGTGTGAGGATGAGTGGTTATGGGGCGTGTGAGTACATTAGCATGTATGCGTGTGAGTGGATGTGTGCCTGTGTACGTGTGTATCCATGGGTGAAAACACATGTATACATGTGCATATGTGTGCATGCAGAAGCAGAAGTGCATGTGTGTGTGCACCTTGCATCGATGTATGTGCACATGTGCGAACATGTGTGCACACAAGCAGGAGGGTGGATGTGTGCGAGCACATGCACGTGTGGGGGTTTGAAAGGCTCACCCTGAAATGCTCCAAATGACTCGATGGAGAGCACCCTCCTCCCCACGGCTGAGAGGCTCCGGCACAGGCGGCAGGAGGACGTGAGCTGCATCTTCTCTTCGCATAGCGCGATGATGCTCTGCGGACGTGAGTCTCAGACAGGAAGGGCGCCCCGGAGGAGGCCCCGCCCTCCCGTTCCCACTTTCTTCTGAAGGGGACGGTGGGGGCCGTGCCTGGAGCCTGCCACCCACCCACCCTGTCCACCTCCAGGCGCACAAAGGCAATGCCTCCTGGGGCTGCGGAGAACAGGAGGTTCTGTTGAGCTCCTGGCAGTTACAAGCCAAAACCCTTCATAGCAAAAACGTGCAATCAAAAACTAAGTCCTCATTTAAACAAAATGCAATGCTACCACATTCCGGTCAAGAAGCCCAGGTGCGGCCGCGGGGCCCACGCGGGTGTGTGTGTGTGTGTGTGTGAGAGACACCGGGGGCCTGCGGAAGGTTGGGGTGAGGGAGGGGAGCCCACACTGACCTCGAGGTTGGGCCGGTCGCCAGGGTCCTCGGCCTGCATTCGGCTGAGTAGCACCTCCAGGTCCTGGCTCAGCCTGGGCTCTGGCGTGGGTTCTGCCACAAACTCCAGTGCTGCCTTCAGTGTGGCCCCCAGGGAATAGATGTGAGCCTGTGGGCACCAAGGAGCAGTTGGCATCGGGGGCCGCCAGGTGGCCGCAGCCGCGCCTGTGCGCCCCCAGCTCCCCCCCAACATGGCTGCCAGCCCTTGGGGCCAGGAATACGGCTTCCAGGGACAGACCTGCCCTCGACCACGTAGGCCTGGCGGGGGCACGTCTCCTGCGGCGGAGTCTCCGGAGGGAAAGCAGCCACATCCACGGCGCCGCACGCGGGTCTGAGGCCTGTGCTGGACCACATGCACCCCGGGACCCCGGCGCCTCCTGCCCATTGCAGTTTCCCCAGCCTTCACGGGCACAGTCACCCGGACCCCCTTCCCTGACCACTGCCGTGACTCTCGAGGGTGGGGCCTTTTGCTTGTGGGTGTGTTGTTCAAAAGCTGGATTCTGGTGGGAGGAAAGACGGGTTTTCTTCTTGCTTGAAAGCTGAGGTTTTCCTAACTGCATGCACGAGTGGGCTCTGCATGTGGTCTGCAGTGGGTCTCGGCTACCTCGCGGGCCTGTGCCCACCCCATCCCAGGACAGCCACCGGCAGGGGCTGGGCGCCATCATCCCCATGTCACCAGCAGGAAGTGGAACCCAGAGCGGTTCAGGAACCTGCCGAGGGCCACACAGCAGGCCATGGAGAAGCAGGCATGCGGCTCCGGAGAAGCAGGTCATACAGATCCTGAGGGGAGCCCGGGACCCAGACCAGGGCCTGTGCTTCCATCGCCAGGAATCCCTTCCCGAGGCAGGTCTGGGCTCCCTGTGCCCACTCTAGTCCAAGGCTAGTTGAGGTGACACGTAATGCCCCATCCTGGGCTCACCTGGCATAGCTCACGTGACCCTCAGACCCACCTCCCCAGTCTGCCTTGAGGTCCAGGATGACCAGTGGGCTGTCGTTTTCAAAGAAGCCCTGCACCCTGGGACCCCTGGCCCAGCTGGTCATCCTGGCTCAGGCTCCCTGTCCCGGCCCCATCTCTCTGCCAGGGTCTCTGTCTCAAGAGTAGGGCTGCAGGGACCCAGCCAGATCCTGCAGCCTCCAACTCCACCATTCAGCCACCCCCAAACTCGGCCAATTCTGCCTTAAACTCCTTTTTCTCCTTAGGGGAAGTTTTGTTTGAATATGATAAAAAAGCATTACAGAGAAGAAGCAAAGAAGCATTCATCCCCCAGCACCTTTTTTTTATTTTTTATTTTTTTTGAGTTGGAGTCTCACTCTGTCGCCCAGACTGGAGTGCAGTGGCCGCTCCCGGCCACCGCAGCCTCAACCTGCTGGGCTCCGGCGATCCTTCCGCCTCAGCCTTCCAGGTAGCTGGAATTACAGGCATGTGCTACCACGCCCGGCTGATTTTTTCATTTATTGTAGAGATGAGGTCTCGCTGCCCAGGCGGGTCTTGAACCCAAGGGCTCAGGTAATCCACTCACCTCAGCCTCCCAAAGGCGCAGGATTATAGGCTGAGTCACTGAGCCCGGTCTGCCCCAGCACCTTTCTTCCCTGAGGCATAAACGTCACGCTGTGTGCACATGCAAGCGCGCGCGCGTGCGCGCACACACACACACACACACACAGCTGAAAATGGACTCCTCTCTTCTAAGCTGCATTTGTCCTCTGTTCTGGCCTTTTTCACACTGTGGGTCTCTTTTCAGGTCAGGACTTATCTTCACCCAATACCTGGCCCGTCCTTACTGTACAGGGCATCCTCTTGGGGCCAGGGCATCCCCTGCCTGGCTGTCCCCCACTCCCTCCACACTGGGCATAAGCCTCTGGTGGGTGTACCTGACGCCTCCCACTCATCCCCTCACAGCGTGGCTTGCACCTGGCCCCGCTCACGCTGTCTCTGCCTTCACACCTGTGGACAGCCCCTGCTCCCTCAGGGACCCCTACCGCCCGCCCATGCCTGGGTTGCGCTCCGTCTGCCTTGGGGATCTGGGACACACGCACGTTAGGGCACCTGAGCATCTAGCCTCTCCGTTCTGATGTGTGACTTTGCTGTCACGACTGAGGACTCAGTGGGCACCTTGGGAGGACGCCCTCGTGCAGCCACGGAGTGTGTGGAGGTGCAAGGCTGAGAAGTGCCGGGCTCCGGGTCACATCCAGTGACAATTCTGACATCTGCTGACAAATTTCCCTGCTAAATGACCAACCGACCCGGACGCCTGCTGAGGCGTAGACCCCGTCCACTTGTCTGCAGTTTTGCCAATCTGCTAGGCGAGGCGTATCTCAAGTTCATTTGCATCTTTATAATTATGAATGAGACCATGCATCTGTTCACATCTACTTGCAGTTTTAATGTCTTCCTTTAAAGCTTCATTCAAGGACTTTGCTAATTCCTTCCTGAACTGCCTGTTTGGAATGGGCTTGACACGCCAGGGCTGGCCCTTGGCCTGGGAGCCTCACTGCACGCCTCCTCCATCCGTGACACATCTTTTAATACGTTCACATGTCTTCTGTCTTCCCAAGGTTTTCATTTTTAACTTGTGAAATATGACCCTTTTTTTTCCTTTTGCAGCTTCTTAGGAGGACCTTCTCTGCCCCGAGATGACAGAAACAGCTTTCCTCTCTTCCTGCCAATGTGCTCATCATTTAAACATATTTAGCCCCACTCCGCTTTAAGCCTCTGTGCTGGAGAGCAACCTCCCAGCTGGAAGGACCCACCTGCGGCCCACCCAAAATGCTGTCCTCACTGCCTGCACCCCCTCTCCCGTCCAGGCTCCTCTCCTTGGGCTGGCCGACCTGCTTTCCGCCCACCTTCACGGGCTATGCTGTTCTGATGACAGTAGGTCCAGCACGTGCTTTAAAAGGTTGGAGGATGCGTTGCCCTTCATTTGTTTTCTTTTCGAACAACAGTGTCTATGTTTGCATTTGTTCGATTTTAAAAAACAAATACAAACTCCCCCATTCCCATTCAAAAAAACAAACCAAAACGATTGTGATCTGATTGCAAGTGCAATGGCTTTTCATACTAATTTGGGTAGGATCAACTTTTTTACAAAATAAAGTCTTTATGTGCAGAGACGGATCTACCTTTTTCTTAAAATTTTATTTTATTTTTTCTCTTTTTTTTCCGAGTTGGAGTCTCACTCTGTCGCCCAGACTGGAGTGCAGTGGCTGTTCCTAGCCACCACAGCCTCGACCTGCTGGGCTCTGGCGATCCTTCTGCCTCAGCCTTCCA